AAGGGAAAGGAAAAAATAGGGGCCTTTAGGAGACCCTCTTTCCCATCTATGCCTTCATCTTCGTCTTTGATCCTGGCCAGACTCAAGCACTAGACACTGGAAGAGGGCTGGCACAAAGCTATTATGCCAGCTTGCTTAGGCTGGCAAAAACTCCAGCTCTAGGGGTATTTCCACGCTCTTTTTTGCTGTCCTGAGCATCATGAAGCAACAGATTTAGAGGAAATTCTGGGTAACATATTAAACTACCATCTTTTATCATGCCATATCAGTTTTAATTTAAAAGCATGATACCTAGGCTTTGTGTTTTCCTGACAAATGGAGTGTCAGCTTAAAAAGACACCTGCAACTTCTTTTCTTTACACAAGAGAGGAAAGATAATAGGCCAGGAAATAGTAACACAGATTTGCTCTGTTGAAGATGTCTGCCAGGATCTTGATCAAGTGTAAAGGCATCTCAAAATAAGTCTACACCACTCACGGCAGTGTGGGTGAGAGTAAACGAAGCTAACACCAGTCTTGGCTGTTTTCTCTGCCTCCCCTGTAGCCCAGCACACAGAGGACACAGTAGCTTGTCCTGAGATGTCAATCTCAGTAAAGTATTAAGTCAGATGTAGTTCAGTTCTGCTACACTGCTGTGGCTGCTTTGGTGCCGGAGCTAGTCTGATGGGAAAAAACGGAGACTCTTGGTATGCAGCAATGGCCATAGAAGTCCGTAAGATTCACTCAGGTACTATATTTGAGCTGGGAGCTGGCAACATGAAAATGGGACCTAATGCTGCCCAAGAAAATGACCTGCATTTTGAAGAATTTGGAACATTTAAAAAATCTTTCCCTTGCTGTCTCAGTAATGAATCTACAAAATAGAGATCAGCACTGTTCCCCTTTTCAGACGAGTTGTGAGGACTCCTATCCTAAAGGAATTCAGGCACTATGATAGCATAAATCCCTGGTGCCATTCCCCTGTCACACTGACAGGTATTGCACTGACCTGAATCTCTGTTCAGGAGGATTGTTTTCTTTGCTGCATTGCCCTTTTTTGATGTCAATGTCCTCCGGTATATGAGGCCTTCTTACAGGTTGTATGCATTTTAGGATGTGAAGGACTATGTTTAGACTAGGGACAGGCATTACTTGTAGGGAGTATGTAGGGTATGATGGTATAGTGATAAATAAAAAGAGACTGAGGAAATGGCAGAAGATGGAGGGGGCAGGTCAGGAATAGAAAACTATCCCAACTTCTTTGTTTGCTGGGCACAAATAAATAATAGCCATCCGACTGCAATCAAGAACACAGTCATACATCTAGTAACAAGGAATGTCAACCATGGTCATGAACAGAGGTCATGAAGTTGGAACCGGACTGTAATTGCTACAAGTGAATCATCAGCTCTCACTGTAAATCAGGAACACAAAGAACAAACGCTTTTGAATCAATGCTTTTTACACTTTAAATTCTATCCCATTAAAATGAGGTGGTTTCAGTCAGATAACCTGGACTCCCCTCAAGCAAACCTGATCAACCTCAATATAACTTACGCAGCTCATGGTGTCCAGGCTTGGTTGAAAACTCAATCACAAAAAGATCCTTCCCTTCAAAACTGCGACCTATGCTGTAAGTTGTTGCAATGTGGGAGCACTTAGAAGCAGTCTTCTTCAACATGCTCACCATTTGGGAATATGAATGGTGTTTGAACTGAATAAAAGTTGCTGGCAAGTCGGAAGGCAAATCTTCCTCAATGTCTACTTCTCCTGCAAAGAAAAATTGTAACACAGTGTTTCAAACCATGGTGGTTAGAGGACTGTATGAATGTCTGCACTTTTCTGCAAAATATTTTTTTTTCAGTAATAGAATTATAGAAAATACATCTGCAAGCAAAACCTTAAATTTCAATAATAAATCCTACACTGTTTATTGTGGAATATTTTGTTTGTAAAATCATTCTAGTGCACATGCACACTGACAAATATTTTGTGTAACCTCCAGTTATAATATGGCCTTTGGCATGCTTAGCACATTTCAGTCACAAAATGTACAGGTTTTTCCCTTTGAATCTGGTGGATCAAATTCATTTTTTCATGAGATTTAGCTGTCTTCAGCTATCTGGATTTTCTTCATCCAAATAAAAATCTGTGACAATCATTAATGAGATTATTTTAATGAGCTGTTAAACTTGTCAAGTCATCATGAATTTATGAGTGCATTAGAGTTTCAGCTTTTGAATAAAACATTTCAAATATACAGACAGTTATCACACAGGGCAGGGCTTATCTAAATGCTCATTGGCAGTCCAAACATCTAGCTCTGAGCTGCCTGTCTTGATGCTCTTTGTATATGAGGGAGAGAAACAGATGCTTCTTCAGCACAGTTTAATTAAGTGTTTAAAATAGGTGGAACAAAATGAATCATACCTTACAGGTGTCTATAAAGATGACAAGCTTAGATGACAGGAAAAGAGGTTTTGTGCCATAGACATGTCAACCTGAGTGAGATGAGACCCTTCCCATCTAGACAAGTAAGATGTGTCAGCAGCAGAGCTTCCTTCCTTACCTCGCAGCTTTGCCAGAGGATCAAAGCATCCCTCTTCTTCCCCAGCAAAAAAGCGGTCGCAGTCTAAGAAGTAGGGCCAAGCCATGTCTATTGCATCAAAGGCAGGGAGACAACTTTTTTTCAGGTTTTCACAGACACGCCTGCAGGGCTTTATAACTTTGTCCTTTTCGCACTGTGGGGCCAGCACTGAGCAGCCCAGGAGCCTCAGGTCCGGGTTGCATTCTCCCTGGAGCAAGTTGTGCAGCACGCTGATGAGGATGTACTCAGAGCTGTACTCAATCACCTCTCTAGACTTCTGATCCAGAAAATTGGGATACATCATTTGAGTATAGGCAACATCAGTACAAGAACTTAAGGCAATGTCCACACATTTTGCTATGAAAAGGAGATGAACATATGAAAAATTACTTGCTTCACTGACACTCTGAATAGCTCAAAGACAACATAACAAATAACACACTCAATTAACTACTTTTTTTGTTCACAGATAGACTGGAAGCAGTTTGCAATAATCTCAAATTAATTTGATGGCTAAAACCACTTACAGAAAGGTGATGGAAAGTATGCTTTGTCTGGAGATTGACTGCAAAGAGTTTGATGCGAGTAGATGTCATTTAGAATTCAGATGGTATCTGACAATTTGATGGGGCATCATGGGTTATCTGATTGATAAGCACTGCTTCTAAAGTAAGATTTATTGTGTTAATTCAATATCTGAACAGCAATGAAAGGGCAAATCCCTGGCGAGAAAATACTGGAGTACCTGGCCCGTATGGGAGTTCATTTAACAAATAGCTTGGAAACAACAAAATTAATAAAGCTTTGTTTCCAAAGGAAAGGCTGTCTCATACTCAGTTAAATCTCATCTGATTTAATTTGAGCTTATTAAACATCAGAGAATCCATAAGAGAGAAAAATCCCTTGTGTCATATAGATTTTTTCTTTAGTGGGAAAGGTATCAGTAATATATGTCTCTTCTTTGCTTGGCCCCACAAAATTTTTAAGATTATTATCTCTGAAACTGCAGTCCCTCTGTGAAGTTTGACTGAAATCGCCTGAAGAATTGAAAAATTATTCTGGGACTTGAGTCTCAAGCAAGCAGGCCCATAAATGTGCTTAGATGTATATTCTCATAGATGTGATACATTTTAAGAAATCGGACTAAGAGATCTTAGGAAGGATAAATGATGGTAATATCTTCAACTGACTCAGAGGTGAGAAGGGAGCAATGGAGAGAGGTCTCTTCACAAAATGACTGGCCGTTACAGTATTGGGCCTATGTTTGAGCATTCTTCTCTTGCTAATGTCTCTGGCTGGTAGCAAATACCACTGTCACAGCAGCAAAATCCTACCTTGTGTGAAAGAGACCATCTCTCTAGGAACAAGACCTACTAAAGCACCAAATTTAGAAAACTTGTCAGGAAATAATGAAGATATACTTAAGGCTTCAAGATTCTCCAAGGACAGTGAGTAAAGTCATATCGTACCTTTCTGTACAGTTTGGCATTGACCTGCAAATGAAAAGGAAAAAAAAAAAAAGGCATTATGGGGCAGGTATCCATGGTACATCATGTTAGGAGTTGTCCAATCTTGTAGCCCCAGACTGCTGAAGCTCTATGTCCTGAGGCCCAACCATTCCAGCGACAAGGATGTATTCCCAACAAACATGTATTACATACACATACAAAGAGAAAACACAGTACAGGCAAACACAACCAGCACCAAAAGCATCATCCTGTTCCCCTTTCTGACTATTCAGGATGAAAGACCACTGATGGAAAAGAAATACAGGTGGATCCCACCCAGTATCTTCCCCCTGGATCCACTGATCTCCCAGTTGCCTCATGCACTGACACACTGCTGGTCTCTCTGATAGCTGGCCCAGACCTGCGGTTCTGCTGGTATCCAAGCCTCAGACAGGGTGGTCTTCCCAATAGGTGGCTTAGACCACCTGGTCCCTTCAGTAGCCAACTCTGAGACCCCCTGTTCTCTCCAGCATCCAGCCCAGAATCACAGCCGCTCAAATACCCAGCTCCCAAATCCTTTATTCTGTTGGCTGCTAGTCCAGCTTGGTGTTTGCTAGCAACTACACACACTGACGTACACACACCAAGCACACGCTCCCAGGTCCCTCCAGCTGCTGCACCCCAGACCCATGGTCTCACATCAGTTTCTGGCATGTGGAGCCTCATACACCCTCATCCAAGCAAAGAGTTGGAAATGGAGTTTAATAAGAAGACAGGACAGACTGCAGGGGTCAGGTGCAGGGCATGGCCAGAGAAGCACACTGGCCAGCCAGTCTTTGATCCACTTCAAAAAGAGAGGACTTGGCAATATATTTCAAGTGTGGTTTTGCAGAAAATCAGACCTATGTTTGAAAATTTCATTGAGCTGCCCAGCCCCAGCAACTTAAAAATATTTCTAGGCGTGATTAAAAACTCTAAGTTAATTTCCTAGGAAATTTCCCTAATGAAAACGTAGGTCTTTAGTAATCTGGTTTAGGTCTAAAAGCCCATGCTAGTTCTTCTGTACATATCAAGATGCCTTATGGATCTTCCCCTAACAAATCTATTGGTCCTATATAATGCTGTGTATATCTTTCTCGTAAAGCAATGAAGTCTTTGGTGGATATGAGGGGACATATTTCTTCCCCATCCTACTTCATCCTATCTCTAGCAACTGCATTTTATAATCTGTTTAATAACAACTTAAAACTAATTATTTGCTTCCTCAACTACTCTCATGGGAAAGCTTTTCCAAAAGCTCACTCCTCTAATGGCTAGAAATTGCCTTTTAATTTCCTGCCTAAAAGTATTCTGGCCAGTTTATATCCATGTGTTGTGCCAGCATTGTCCTTTAGTTTAAATAGCTGTCTGCACTCCCTGGTGCATGCCTTCATCATGTGTTTGCAGAGGAATCAGATCCACTCATCCTCCTACTTACTAACTAAAATAAAGCAAGCTCTCTTGATTTTGAAGGAACATGGTTTCATGACCCAGGAGAGGCCTCTTTTGCTCCTGTAGCCAATAATTCTGTATTGCCCTTCTTTGTTACTGACAACTAAGGGAGGATACTACTGTCAAGGTATCACAGCTGTTTTCACCACTGCCTCATAGGAGCTCAGCTGTTATGTGCAAGGTTTTTAACCACCAATGGGTCTGTTTTCCTTTTCATATATTGGCAATCTAGTTACGTTGTTCTTTCTCCTACCTCTTACAGGAGGACTGGCATCTAGCTTCTCGCTCAGTAAACTGAACATTTGTCCTCGTAAGACCAAATTCATTATGTTTTATTTTTTTCCTACTAAGGAAAGTTGAAACTTCTACTCCCAGCATACTAGTTTAAATGTAATTATCTGCATATGTGTTGCTAACAAGTTGATCATTCTTTAGCCAAAATAAAATCATTATAATAAGAACAAAATTAACCTTGGAATTTTATCTTGGAGGGAGACATTTCATTGGAAATGAGTTTTGGTTTAGATTATGAATTGTCATTGATCCACATTACCTCATAAAATAAATGAGGGATCAGAACAAGCAGAAACAGCCCATCTGCAACACTAGCAATTCCTGGTAAGCAGCATGCTGGAAAAAAAATATATTCATACAAACGCCTTTCCTGGCTTGGTACATTATGCTGATAGCAACGCACAATACCTGGTTCATCAACAGTGCCTTCCATTACAGGATTTCAGTGTTTCCCTTAGTTAGGCACAATCCTCTCAGTGAGCTAGTTATTAATGTCAAGGAATTTCTAAAAAAGCTTCATCTCAGCCAGATACAGCATGTAGTTTGTACAATGCTAGCTGGGAAAGAGAAAGAAGTGATCGCCTGTTAGTAAGAACTCCAGCAATTAACCCTGCTGATAAAATTGGGTGCCACGTCCTCCCTGAGTCTGGAAAGTCTCATATCCCAGTGCCATCACGCCCACAACAACTTGTGAGGACTTGGACACCAGCCTGGAGGCAGTCAAATGTTCCATACAGAGAGGGAAACTTGGTGTGGATGGGACTGGCTTGAGTTCAGCCACATTCCAAAGAGCATGGTGACACTGTCTCTGATTATCATTGCTGATGACCCTGGTGAACCTCCTTCATTGCCTTGAAGAGTGGCTGAGAAATATTTAACACTTTTTTTTTCTCCTCAGCATAAAGTGACTGTATTGTAGCTATATTTTTAGACCAGAGAGTTGCGTGTGCTGAGAGCAGTTCTTCATGGATTCATTTGGGGATTATCAATGGTCTTCCCACAGCTGCTCACATTTCCTTCAAGGTAAGAGCTGTTTCCCCTGTGCTGGCTCTGTGACCAAGCTACAAATGTCCTTTTTGTTTGTCTCCCACATATGCACTGATCAAATAACAAAGCACACAGCCTTTCAGACTGTTATTACTGTGCAGGAGAGCTATAGCCATCAGCCAGTTTGATACGTGGCACAAACCTATTCTCAGTGGTGTCTCTGTATTCTGCTTATTCAGCTGGAGCAAACCGGTATTCTGGCAACAAGATGGAACAAGCAGAGGAAACCAAAGGGAAAATGCAGCAGGCAGGGTCTGGGCATGGTGCTGCTGCTTCCTCTTGCTCTGGCTCTCTGAGCAGCAGCAGTCTTGCTGCGTTTAGCAGATGCCGGTTTCTGCCCAGCTGGCCAGAAGGAGAGGTGTTGGGAAGTGATGGATAGCTGATGGAAGAGACATGCAAAACCTTGCTAAGTCACACGCTGTAGCTGAGTTCACCAGAGCACTGGACAGTTTTGTGAGCAGGAGCAGATGTTAGCACAGGAGAGCTAAAAGCAGTTGTGGTTTCAGACTGCTACCTGGTTTCTGTACTTTATTATTTTTACCATACTTATAGGGAGCGGCAATCTGTTAATCTATATATTGGTCTATTAGTATGGCTATTGCCCATTAACAAAACCACTGACTGAAGATGATAGATTTATTTTTTAGGTGAAGAACCCAAATCCATATAAACCCTTCCCATGGCAACTGCAGCAGTTTATCTCAGTATGTGATAAGCAGGAGTGATTCTTCAACAAAGGATAAAGCTTTTCCACTACTTTTGGCCCAGGATGCCCCTCAAACTTGATCAGCTTGAGCTACCCAAACTCGCTTATTGACTAGCAGCAAAACTGCCTCCTTCTTCCTGCATCCCAAACCTAGTCCAACATTTCTGCAGCATACTGTGCTATTTTCTCCCTGTCTCTCTCTGCAGAGACATCTATGTGTTGTCTTCTGCCACCCGAGAGGCCAACTCTGCCCAAACTATAGCACATGTCCTCACCACAGCCCCATGCAAGCTGCCATATGATCCATATATCAGCCACAGCTCTGTCTGGTAAATGCCCAGGAGTGAAACAACTTGAGCTTTCAGGTTATCAGGAGTTAATATACACAAAAGCAAGAGAGAAAAGGTCCCTTGCTTTATAGCGAGTCTGAAATGTGTATGTGTGCTCATGTGGTGTTTGTACTTTTCCTATGCTTCCTTGTGCCAATGCTTGCATATGTTTTGGAGGGTGCGGCTCTGCAAGGGCCAAAGATAATTCTCCAGTGCGTGTACTTATATAAATAAGTGCGGATGCACGTAGCTGGGCCAGAGCCTGCCTGCCTGGAGAGCAAGCAGCAGGAAACTCCTCAAGCCCAGCTCCCAAGCAGCAGCTGGCACACCCTGTTCCTGGAGCCCTGCTCCCATGGGTCTGGGTCTCTGCACAGAGAAATTACCTGCAAATCCCCGTCCTCACCCATTACAGCTCATTTTGATGAAGCTCTGGCAAAGCCACTAGAAGAATTCAGCCGCTCCTGTCTCTTTTTCGTAAGAGGAATGACAGGCAATGACATAGAGACCGTTTCTCAGGCCTCTGGATTAACTTGGCAGGCTTCAGTTGCTGCTGCTTCTTCTGTGCTTGCAAAAGTCAAAACCTCTTCCATTTTTTGAGCAGAGGCTTCCCTGAGCTCAGAAGACAGTACCACCTCCTCTCACAGTCCCATCCGTGGACAGGTTGGTACAGAGACCTTTTTCTTCCTGATCCAGAAGAGCCTTATTAATTTTTTATGTTTATTTTTGTAGTCTAGCTATTCCACCAGAGCTACAGAAGTCCTTTCAGTAGCACAGCTTCTATTTAAGAGTATGGAGAAAATAACTTATTGAAGAGGACAAAAGCCATTTCAGGCTTTGAGCCCTCTCCATAATATATGCTTCTGTTTTTAATTCGGGAAGGCAAGCTTGAAAATCTACAATACAGCACATACATATTTTACTGCCAAGCTTACATTTTTTCCCCTTGATGACTCAGCACTGAAAGAAGCAAGCTGCTGTGATTAACCCTAACCCAGACAATACATCTCAACAGCTACTTCCAGTACCATGGCTTGGCCAGTTGCCTTTTCGAGAGCAAAGCCAAAAGGAGACTTGTGTGCTTGAGGATATGAAATGAGCCCAAGGGACAATCTTAAATTCAGAATATCTAAAGCATTCAGTGAGGCTTACACGACTGCATTGTTATGACTG